AAACCAGGTTGGTTCACAAAGAGTTTAAGAGATAAAATTAAAGAAAAGCATCATATATCTTAAGAAATTTAAATATAATGGTATAACAGGAGATTTAGAAGGTTATAGAAGATCAAGAAAGTTGGTGAAACAGGAAATTAGGACATCAAAAGGGATGTATGAGAAAAAGTTGGCTGAAAATGTAAAAATTAACAGTAAGGATTTCTTTAAATACATTAAGGATAAATAGAATGTTAGGATGTGGGTAGGGTCCTCCTTGAGGGATGATAAAGGAAGACTTATATCTGATGATTATGAGATGGCTGGGTTATTCAATTCTGCTCTCCTTAAGTTTTTACTGATGAAGATTTAAGAAGTATTCCTCATCTTGAACAGCTGATAGATGGAAATGAGGTCAAACAAGATGATTCCATTAATTCTGAGCTTGTTAAGAAAAAAATGGGAAGTTTAAAGAAGGATAAGACTCCTGGGCCAGATAATACTTCCCCAAAGGTTTTGAAGGAAGTTAAGAATTGGATATGTGAGCCACTTGTTACTATTTTTTGGAAGCCCTTGAATATTGGGCAGATGCCAAAGGATTGGAAGTTAGCTAATGTCACTCCTCAGTTCAAAGGAGGTAGTAGAAAATTGTCCCAGTAATTATAGACCAATTAGTTTACATCAGTTGTGGGAAAAGTCTGAAAAAAAGATGCCTTGCAAAGTCATTTAACAAAGTTTAGAATTTTATTGGATAGTCAACATGATTTGGTGTATATGGATTTTTAGAAAGCATTTGAAAAGGTGTCACATAAAAGGCTTGTAAAAAAACTGTCTATAGGTATGGGATATAAGTTAGCTAATTTGAAGACTGGTTGGATGGAAGAAAGCAGAGGATTGTTATAATTGGAGTTCAGTCAAACTAGATTAATGTCACAAGTGAGGTACCTCAGGGCTCAGTCTTATAACCTTTGCTCTTTTTGATTTACATCAATGACATAGATGATGGAATGGTTAACAAATAACTTAAATTTGCTGGTGATATTAGTCTTGGATGTTGCTAGCTGTGAAGAGGATGATGCTACTTTACAAAAATATTTAGATCATTTTGTGAGTTGGGCAAATAAATGGTAGATGGGTTTTAATTATGATAAATGCAAGATAATGCATGTGGGTTGAATTATAAATATAATTTGAATGGGAATAACCTTAACAGTGTCATGAAAGAAAGGGATCATGGTTAAATGGTTGTTCACCATCTAAGCTATCAAAGCAGTGTGCTGTTGCTAGTGGTAGGGCAAATAGGATTTTAGATTGTATCTACAGAAATATTGAATACATGTCTAAAGAGTGTATTCTGAATGTGGTCAGATTAAATATTTTGTAGTTGAAGAATAATATTAATGAGTTGTTGAGTTTCAATAAATATCTGTATTATGTGAAACACTGTTTTTTGCCTTAATTGATTATCTTAATAGTTGTTCAATGAGTGCAGGGCTGCTTGTCTCACATTTTAATCTGTGGTTTAAAGTTAATAGTAATGTGAAAATTACTTTAAAAATACCAATGTTTGTTGTTTTTCATGTGTTGTATTTGTGCCATATACATAGAATTTCAATAAGGGACTTTTTAACTTCGTTCTATTAATAAACCAAAGCTAAGGAACATTTTAGTTCCTATATCTTCCATGAACCGTTATTTAGTTTGAGATTGTCTAGTAAATTTACATTATATAATATATATACCTAATACAAAGTGTTTATTAAATTTGTACAATTTGATATTCACCTATGTACATGTTTAGCTAATAGGCCAATGACAATCGCAGAAGGTAAACTCTATTGAAAGTGATAGTAGTTCATTTAAAAAAGAATTAATGTATGTTATGGAATGAGTAAGAAATTCTTAATTTAATTATTACACTAGTTATCAACATACAAAATTCATTTTTTTATATAAACCACTACTTTTTTAAATTATGTGTGAGATTGACTATCTCTCTTTCAACTTTCTGTTATAGTTGAAGATCCATACTTATTTTCTATCTGAAGTAATACTGTTATTCTGTTTTGTTTTGCTGTTTATTTATCATTATGTTTATTAAGTATGGTTAATTAATCAACAGTTTGTGTTAAAAAGCTTTGACTGTTAAATATAGACTTGTTGTGCTTAAGTCAGCCACAGTTCTTTTAATTAGCTGCAATAGGGTGCTTTTGCAATGCAAGTGTGCTGTATGTAGCTATATGAGTATTGCATATAAAGTTAAATATGTGTAATTAAACATCACAATTTTTTTATCTTAGATTTAAAAATATGTGAATGTTTTATTTAAATTTTGTGGATTACCTGCAAAGTAAAAGGGTTTTTAATCAAATATAAACTAATAGTCATGGTGATGTCATTAAATTATACAAATTATTATTTTAGGTTTAAATCTATGTATAGTAATGTGTTTTAAACCTTTAAAGGTTAAAAATGTACTCTTTGTTCCAACCCTAAATTATCAGTAGATTCCTATTAATAACAAAAACACTTTAGCCATTGAAGTAATGCTCTGTTGCTTGTAGTAAAGCTATTAAAATTTTAAAGAGTGTATTTATAGGCATAATTATTATGAAACAAAACCACTAATTTTCTCTCTAATAATAACTAGTTAGGTCTCACTTGAAATATATTTTTGGTCTACTTATTTAAGAATGAATATTGGCTTATCAGAAAGGGTTCAGAGGAGAGCTACTAGGATTGTCCTGGGGATAGAAGAGTTATCTTACCAGGATAGGTTAAGATTTCTTAACTTAATTTCTATTGAGAATAGAACAGATTATGCCCCAGTTAGGGCAGTTTTTTTTGTTTTTTTTTGACAGGGTAATTCACATACGGAAGTGAGGAAATCAATGATTTCCTGAAAACAAAATGGTGGGTGTTGAAGGACAGCCTTGAAGGATCAAATAGTACCTCGTTGTCCATATGTTATGTGTAGAAAATTCAGTTCATTCAGAAAACATTCCAGAAAAAATATGATCTATGGTTTTTTTCTTGGTAACTGCATAATTTATGTGTTAAAAACATTATTTATTTCTAGTTCGAGAACAACTGAAGGACTTGAATAAGCAATATGAAAAGTCTGAAAATGATCTGAAAGCACTTCAGAGTGTAGGACAGGTGAGAAGATAATTTTTCATAGCTACATATAAATTATCGTATTCATTATAGAGAAATGCTTTGCTAAATATGAATAAAAATGGTGGGAAAACTGAGTTATTACCTATCAGGTTTAACTATTTCAGCATGGACTCTGTTCCTGGGACCGACCTCATAACCATATTGTGTTTGTTATAGTTTTCATTTTTTTCATGCTATAATTTTTAAATTAGTAAGTGAATGTTAATGAAATTTGGCAGATTATCAGTAAACATTACAATGCTTTCATACGCAAAATATCTAATTTTTTATTAAGTCGTAAGGTTTGTAAAGCAATGTTTCTCTCATGTCTTTTTTTTTTTCACATCTTGCCTATCTATCATGCAAAGTAATTTTCATTTTAAGATTAAAAATACTTTTATGCAACAGAAAATTTTGAAATTTCACATGCAAAATCTTTATAATGTGTCCGGATAGTTGTCAAATGTTTATTTAGAAAAAACTATATTTTACCTGTTATTTTCAGTAATTAATCTTTGTATGGGTTTGGTATATATGAACGATCTCGCAACAACAATAAAAAATTAGGAAACGAACATAAATTATGCCTCTTTCATTCTAGAATGAACACAAATTATAACACGAAAACATAAACGTTTAAATGAAATAGCTTGAATCTCATAACATTATACATTTATTATATTGACCTTTTCAGCCATGCCTGACTAACATTACAGAAGTTACAATGACACGGCTCACATGCACTCGTGTTACTATATCAAATAACATAAAATTGACCTTTGCTATTTTTAAATAAGATATTAAACATATTTTTCCTAAAACGTAGAACATTAAATAAAGAAGTAAAGCAGACAATTATCTCTTCTAGTTACGATCTTTGTACTCGGTTGCTGCTTTACGTAGTTTGCTAAGCCTTTAAAAATTTTGCATGTAGAGAATATGAAACAAAATAATCTTTTTAGGTTTTATATATATACATTTGAATAACTAAAAAATCATAAATTACTACATTAATGCCATAGAATTCCACTATAATTTATAAAGCTTAGTAAATAAGCTGTATTTCAGTCTAAACAAATTTGAAATTTCGAACAGACTAAAGACACACCCTACCTCATTGAAATATTGGTTCAAAAGAAAGAAATGTCACCAAGTCCATTAAAATGGCTAAGAAAGCCACTAGGGGGGCATTCTGAGCTTCCAATTGTTATTCATGTCATATATAGTAGTAAGTGTATATAAGGGAATGTTTCCAAAAATGGAAAGAGGTGATGGGGTGCCACT